CTGTCAGCAGTAATTCAGAAATATCCATACTCTCAGCTTGTTTTTGAGTGTGTCAGTGTTCGTACACACATTGGCCCTTTGCACCAAAATGCCCCAGCGGTGACAGACCTGCTTTGTAGGAGTAAATCCAGGCACACGTGTAAGTACAGAGATAAAGCTGTTTTATTTGCCGATCTCCAGTGCTCTGCGCTACACTTCTACATCTAGTTTCCCCCAGCAAGATTAAAAGCCATCGGATTACAATATGGTGGCCTTAACAGAATGGGTCAGTATCATGCATTGTAGAAAAGTATTATGCATATAAGCAGAACATATTTAGGCAATTCACTGAACTGGACGATAGGTCAAGAATGTATTTAGGTTAAGTCAGGTTTGTCATTTCCCCCCCGACTCCTGCTTGTTTTTTTCCCCCACGTCAGATACCAGCAAAAAAAAAAAAACCCTCCCCCATCCCTCTTCAGAAATGAACTTTTCTTAGATCATTTCTGATCACTTTTTTTTTCTTAGCTAAGCAGAACACAAGGCAGAAGGAAAAAAAAGGGGAAAAAAAGGGAAAGAACCTGTTAAAAATGATGCAACTGGCTTTTTCCCTTCCCCCAAACTGTGAAGATTAAAATAGTGATTGCTTCCATCAAATGCCTTAGATCACAGCTTTCACTAAACAGACTATTCAAGCCCCATTTCCATTATTCTCGTCATCACTTATATAACGGTGACTGATTTTATCATTTTTCTTCGGATGCATTCCCCTTAGTGCTCTAGAGTAGGAAAGGTTTCCTCCCCCCTATTCCTAACTAGCAACAGATAAATAACTTTAGCTCAGTGTCTAAGACAATGTCTTTTCTCAAAGGAGCCTTTTCCGTCTGGACAGGACTAGTACAAAAAATATGTTGTTGTGGCATGTGCTAGCCAATAAATTCTGTCACTGGGGATCTTCATTTATTTACATTGAGTCATCTGGTTAACATTGTCTTTAGAAGACAAAGAGTTTGAATATTATAAAGAGCTCTTACAATATGAAGGGCAACTGTAATGAATTGCTAAGGTAAAACATGTTACCAACTCAGAAACCCTTATAAAAGGAGGAGAACATATATCTGCTTCTCTGCTTCGGCCCATATTTCCTGTTAATGGTTCAGCTTCCTTGTTGTGATTATGACATATTGCCTCTTGCATTTATCTTCTCTATCCTAAAACCTGCTTGTAAAAATACTATACATACTGCAGATGTATTCCTTTTCGAGGCTTGCAAAAAGAAAAGACAGAGTTGATAGCTAATTGTGAAATTCTTAGGGCATTTAAAACTGTCCTGTTTCATCGCATTCATCTTTCTAGAAATAGACAACTAAATAATATGGAAGGGGAAATACAGCAGTATGCCATTTACTCCAAAAACATCCTTTGTTTTTAAAAAATGCCTTGTATCAGAAAAAGCATCAATCCAGCAAACTGAGCAGGACCAAGCACCAGTAGCGGATGAGTTGGCACTCTGGGTATGACACTGGTCATTTCCCAAACCCTGTCTCCATTTTCTCAATAGTGACACGGAGGTTGCAATATTGACTTTGCCATGACCTGGCCAAAGTAATTTAATTAACACTCAGAAAACGTTCAGATACAACTAGAACACAAAACAAATACAAAATGTTGCTTAAAAAAAGAAATATGTTTTCCTTCTCTATGCTTCAAAGTTAGTTTTTCCTTTTTATGTAAAGACAAAACTGCTTGTGAAATTTTCAAAACTAACTCAGTGCCTTTTCCAAAAACACTTCTGTTACCCAGGCTCTTTTGAATGGTATCTTTTTTGGCTGCACAGTCATTTGGCTTATGTAGCCTAAACTCTTCATAGCAAATAAGATTCAACAGAACAGAGCAGCTTTCTACACCAGGTGAATTGAGGAGACCAGGGTATTCCTGGCTCTACCAAAAACATTTACATCACCTGAGGAGGACAATATAGTTGTGGGGTTTCTTTTCCCTTAGTTTTATAATAAAATATGGATTAAATATAAATATAAATAAAACACAGATAAAAAGGTAAAAATACTGATCTCCTTTGTAAAGAGGTCGCTGATAATAACAATATATACATTAGTCTCAGAAAATTTTTTTCTTTTATCTTTACCACGCACGGCCAGAAAGTTTTCCCGCACAATCAACCTCTGTAAGCTAGAAAGTTGACTGCAAAGTGGGTATATGCTGAAGGATGTGGGTATAGATCCTCAGCATGTTCTGTAGCAGGGATACACGCAGAGTGGGAAATTCTGCCCCCACCAAAATCAGTAAGACTAGCATCATCGAATTCAACAGGATCAGAAATTCGGCTCTATACTTTACAGTGCAGCTCCGTGGAGGTTTAAGTGCTTTAAAAAAAAAAATCAAACCTCTAATCTTAAATACCCTTTGAAATTTGAAGAGTCTCCTGAGCTGTTGCTTCTGAACAAGAAAACTACTGTAGCAGAAACACAGGAAGACAAAAGGAAAAGGAATGAGGAAAGAGAGAGAAAAACGGTAGTTTCCAGACCCAGCTCCATCTAGGCTAGCTTATCTTATTTCTTCTGGGAGAAACTCCTACTGATGTAACTGAAGTGTGGAACAATGCAATGAAAATGAGCTCAAGATCTGGAAAGTAGCTCAAATTGGAGTCTAAAAACCACAGTTCATTCTTATTTAAATGCTTAAATGGGAGCTAAGAGAACTGCCCATCTCCAGAGGCCACCTCTGAGCCAAGTCAGTGCTCAGCATTGTGTGAAGATAACACAAGCTGCTTTACAATGACTTCTCTGAAACTCTTTTTTTCCTTTAACTAGCAAAACAATTAGTAATTCTGATTTTAGAGGCTGAGGAGAAAAATTTAGGACATTTCCCTTAAAATGTATCTCCTTAATTGAATAACTTCCTAGACTCCCTAGTTAAAGTTTAAATAACTGTTAATGACTCTGAAGCAATCAGAAATGTTTTGCCAAGGGGAAATCAACAGTATATTAAGATAGTTCAGTATTATTGCTGAATGCTAAAGGCAGCTTTTAAAGATCATATGTTTACAAGCTAAAGAAGTTAGATACATTTGATCATTCTGAAAAGTATACTGACACCTTTAATGTCATTTTTCTTCTGTCTGTGTAGGAACAATGTTTCCTTTACATTACATATATATCAATGGGTAAAGTGAGCTTTGAGATGTTACCAATTTTATACAAAATACTGGTGTCCCCCTCCAAAATAAACTCTTATGACAAATAACCTTTTTATAATATCATGCATACTATGTACTGCAATCCCAGGGGGGTTTAGATACACGAATATCTATATACACACACATTTTGGGGGTACAGTGGTGATACATTTTGATTAGTCATAAAGGAAAACTTTTTAATATTTTTCAGCAATGTAAATCATTTGCCTTCTTGCCGTGTCTTTCCACTTCCTCCCAAACTGCAGTGTTCTGTACAGAAGCAATACCGCGTCTGACGAATGACCTCCTCATCTGACTTATCTCATAGGGGTGCAAATGTACCCACGTCTCCTCCTGACACTCTCAAAAAGTCCTCTGTGTTGGGTCCAGAAAAATAAGGAATTCAGGCACAATTCTGTGCCACTGATTCCCTGACATTTTTATCAGGAGCACCAACCAACCATGCATGAGACTGTAAATCAGTGGAATATCCATTTACAGCAGTTAGAGCAATATGATACACTGCACTTGGTTAACAAGTGAAGAAATTGGAAACAGATTACCTAAAACAGCAAATCCAAGCCTAAACTGGCTTTTAGAGAAGGTCCCAGATTGCTGCATATGCTTCCATCCAGAAACATTCTCAAGAATATAGGATTTTTTAATTTAGAACCATACCCTTCATGATATGCAAGGTACAAATATCCATCAAATTCAGTGTCTGTTTTGGGCACAAGGGATGAAGGTTTCATTAGCAGTTCATGTGAAAATCATTTTTAATTGATATTTAATTTGATGGCACTGGAGTTCGATGCTGATGGCAAAACCTAAAGCACAGACAGGTCTCATCCAAAATCCTTTGGAATCAATGTGATTCTTAACACTAACTTCAGTGAAGCCAGGATTTTTGCCTAAATTTTTTTTTTTTTAAATAAAATGCATAGGTCATTCCTAGATCATTCTGATTACCTCTAGGATTCTGCCAGACTAAATTGTGACAGTCTGCCTGCCTCCCAGGATGGTTTCTGTGAATCCCAAAAGCTTACACTTTGCATATAATAATCATATCCAATAAAAAAAATAGCATGAAGTAACTTCCAAAATCCAAAGGTCAAAAATTCAGCTAACATATATTAATCTTTATTATGTAACAGTGATATAATAAATAAGTTTATGAATTCATATGACCTGTACAAAAAGCCGAAAAGATATTGCACCAAGTTAGGTACCGGCTATTTGGATTTAATATTTGTTAAACATATGATCTAAAATTATATACAGTTGTGGAGTTAAGGCAAAACCAGATGATACCTTTAACACAACAGAAGGTTTGAAAAATAGACATAATTACAAACAAGGGGATCTCATCTCCAGCTAATAAAGTGGTTGTGTCTAAGGAAGGAATCCCTTAGGTTTTTAATAAAGCAGTTATTATCAATCATGTTAATTAAAACTGAAGAACAAGTGTGAGATTTCCTGCAGGGCAAAGCTGTTTTGCAAAGTTGTGCCTGAATGATCACCTTTAACCCTGGTAAGAATATTCTTCTTAATGGTTATAATCTGCTCTTCTTTTTAGAAAACAGCACATGGAAAAGAGGAATACTTTACATACCCAACTAAAATACAAGCATAACCCCTTAGCTTTATGTAAGCTAGACTTGATTGTGACCAGTGACAGAGCATAAATATATGGGTGAATCATCCAACACACTACACGCAGAGGAGAATTGAAGTCAACCACTTATCAATAATAATTACCTTTCTCAAGACAATGGAATAGATCATGTCAGTTAAGTCCCAGTGACAAAAACATGTATGACCAATATATCAATATACGGTTCTTTGGCAGCAACACACTAACTCTTGATTGAAGTCTGAACTCAAACTCTCCTAAATTATAGACCTGGTTGCCAGTCTTTTCATAATTAAAGAAAATCCACTTCTCCCATGAATCCAATAAGTCCAGTAAATGAACTCTGAATAAATCTTGCAGGCAGCTTTAGACTGTAACATTAAGCATAGATATTTATTGTCTGCTTTAGTCTCAATCCAAATATATTGTATTTAAACACACAAAATTCTGTGAAACTTCTGAGTAGTTCAGATGGGGCCAAAATCCATAAAGAGAATCCATATTCACCCATGAAAAACCAATAAAGAAACATCAGTCCCATGATGATAAAATGATCTTCATGTAACAGAGGCAATGATGAGTCCACACCTGGATGAATGTCACAGGAAAATTGACTTTACAGGGGAAAGACCAGAAAGCCAGAAAACGTAGAATACTGCCATCCACCGACCAGATTACCTTTCTCCAATTTCAGGTAAACCTTATCCTCCTTGTCTAGGTAGAGCAGGACTCCATTAGTGGCAGCTTCACGTGTGACGTCCTTGTCCCCGGCAAAAGCAGAAATGACTGGCTTTCCATTTAGCATCAAATTAACCTACAAGAGAAAAACCACTGAAAAGCTCTAATTAACAGAAAAACATCAAGAACTACCACTGACTATTAACTGCAGCGTAAGAGGTCTGCTAAGGTTCCAATCTTCATTGGGTTTGGGGTTGGGTTTTGATTGTTCTAAGCTAATACTTAGATTTATTTGGAGCGTACAAGCACACTCATGTTTCATGGGCTTGACCTGCACCCGAGGGAAGTCGGTGGGACGCTGTCCCCTGACTGCCACGGTCCGCCTGGGCTCAGTCAGCGTGAAAGGTGACATGACATTGCCTTCATCTGTTGCTTGGGCACATTCAGTGTTGTAACTCTGTGGTGATACGGAACTGTGAGCTATTACCTCAATTTGTTTCACTTTGCCTACCTCATGGGTTATTTGGACGTGCACAAGCAAAGAAAGAAGACATTTTCAAAAAACTTAGGCACCCAGAGATGCGATATGGGCACCTAATGAGATGTCAAAGGCACCGCAGTAGGCTGGGAGCTTACGCTTCATTGAGAGCAAAATAGATGTCCCTTCCATCACTGGTGGTGGCTTAGTTTTAAAGTCTAGAACAGACCTTTATCTTTATGAACCACTGCACTGTGTTTTGGGCCTGAATCCGTTTTTCTACAAAACACTTCTGAAAGTCAGCCCAGCCTCTGCTCTGAAAGCAACATCACACAGACACTCTGTAAATAAAGATAGGCAGGGGCTGGGGGAATGGACGGATCCAGGCATTTTTCATTTCCCCAATGGCGAACTATTAGCTTTCTTCTGCTTTTTCCTTTTAAGCGGCTATAATGCAGTCACAGAGGGGTGAATTATGAAATGCTTATTCATATCGAGTATGCTGGCCTTGCATATACTCCCATTAATTTTAATGGGAGTCGCCACAGAATAAATTAGTGCTCAGCATAAGTCAGGGCAGCAGAATCTGGCCCTGATTTGGGATTCGCCTATCTGGGAAATCCACTTAATCAGATGTCCCCAGGGAACCAATTTCAGCTTAATGATATTTAATGGCACTAACAGATGTTCCAGGGGCATAGTAATATCACTTATGTAGGAAGCCTTCAGGTGATTTAGTGGTGTTTAAGTCTGCAGGTGGCTGAGACTCAAGCTGGTTTGCTCCACGGCAATGGCTTTTGGTCCTCCCCCATAGTTATTACACGTGCAAAAAAAAAAAAGGGCATCAGGAGTTTACTCATTGCTTGGTTTTGGTTTATCTCGTTCCTTCTGTACCATCTCTCTTGGTCAGGTTCCCCTGCAGATCATCTTACAGCTATTTTAATCACAGGAGAAGACACGTCACAGGTTTGCTGCAGATGATGGTCTCATGTTAACTATGACAAATTGAGCCAACCAAACCCATCCATCCCTTTAGAAACTCTTGATCTCTGAAAGATTTCAGGCCATCTCACTTCTTGTAACATTCCTTGTTACGAGCTCCAGACTCCCAGGTTTGAGTACCTGGTATGTGAAACACCAAAGTCTGCACTGGGCTTCCAGAATGCAAGTCTTGATATCTTTCTTGGCAATATGTATTTTAAACTTAATGAAGCTGGCTCACACAGTTATTCTAGGCCGTTTCAACCTTCAGCTTTTAAGAGAGTGAAAGGAACAAAATTTGAGCATATTAAATAGCTTATAAGCTCATTATAGAGAATTTCATGAGGTCAGTATTTCTTCTAAGACTTTTGTCATTGACTTTAATGGAACCATGATTTCCTGTTGCAAACTGAAGGTGAATTTCACCAGGGATGCGAATGTGTCTCACACCAGCTTTCTCTGCCATCTCTGCCATTTACCCTTTTCTCAGGAGCTTTACTGGCAACCCAAAGCCAGAGCTGCCACAAAGAAATGGCTGATCAGTCCTGCAGAAATCCGTCTCGTCTCAGCCTTGTACACTGAAAACCATATTCAGGAGCAAGACAGATCAGGGGAAAAGCACCAGATACTTCTATGAATCTAGCGGTCTCAAGGGTGGAAACGAGGGAAGCCACAGATGTTATTCCAGATCTAGAAAGCCGGTATGTATGTCACAGAAATTGCGTGACCTGGCATGAAGACTAAGGAATGTACTTTAAGGCATTTACTGTTGGCTCAGCAAGGGGATGGTCAGGAACTTAGAGGCTTTTCCTCTAAGATAATACATACTTGTGTTTAATTAGGTGGTTCAGCTGCTATTAAGCTACAGAAGAAAGCGCAAATTGCTCCTTTTTTTTTAAAATATGACACTTCTTTTATGTATTATATGGTGGAAAAAAGTTTAAACTGCTACAAAGGTTCCCTAGAAGACATCCCTGTAGAGGTCTAACATTTCGGTGTGGTATAGAACAAGCAGACCACCTTAACTAACCTTGGTCCACAGCAGACTGGTGTTATAAACAGATACCCGGCATCACGAGCTGTCAGCCAGGTCACAAAATGTTATAAAAATCATCAAATCTGATACATATCCCCAGAATTCCTGTGCTCAAGACAGTGAGTTTAATCTGTAGCAAAATATGACTCTTCAGTAGTATTTATACAATTAAGTGAAATTTAGAGCTCTGTTTTATTCTTGGATGATTCATTCTACTTAATACTTTATATCACCCCAGATACTCAGTTCCTACGGTATAGAAGGGAAGCTACCGCAAAGTATCTGAGGTGAGGATCCTGCTTTATTACAGCTGTTCCGTTTAAATGTATTCACTCTACTGCTAGGAACTCTACACCACAGGTTGCTTTAAACTAAGCTATTTTTCCTTCAAAGCGTGTTAAATATTCTTGTGTTCAGTCAAGTTCCTATTCTAAATAAACAATTTAAGTAAAAGATTTCATAATCACACTTGATCAACGTACCTGAATTGTTTGACTCTGATAGACTTTAATTACGTGAAAACTGAAACTGTAAATTCCTTTTCTTGGTGCTACAAAGACAGACTCCAACGTGAAAAAATTGCCCACATTTACTAGGATCTACAAACAAAAAATATAACATGGGAATTAGTACAGGTGTTCAGTGCTAAATAAAAAATACAGACTATTAACTTTAGAAACCATTCACCCATGGAAATCTTTTCGTCTACATCTATGCTGTTTTATTCATTGTTCTCTCAATTAAGTTGGAATATTACTCATAAAAATGGATATTTAGTTATATTTATAGTACAACTTTAATATAAATATAAAACTAGGGTGGAGAAGAGTTCTTACTTTGCTGCTATATCATACCTTCAAGACTTTCTTCTATACATGTTTCGAGGAGATTAAGAAAAGGCATTTTTGTTCATCATTCCCCCAAAATGACATCAAAATACTAATTCGGGGAGTGGCGTACTGGTTTTGGCTAAAAAGCGACGGTCAAGTCAACACTGTTTTCCTGGATGTATCAAGCTGTGAGGAAGGATGTACATGAATGATGTAATTCATTCACCAGTTTATAGTCAGCCTGAGTTCCTGACATACCTGGCATATCTCAGCAAAAACTGGCTGTGAGCCGTTGCTGCTTTATTTGTTTTTGTAAGCACTAATAATAATTTGGGTTTGATTAAACAGAGACAAGTAGCAGAGGGGAACGTATTAAATGAGTGCATCGTCCATATGCTAAGTATCTTCTTTGATGACTACGTTTTTCTTTCTTTCCACTTAGTTATGCTTTATTTTTAATCGATATTTTCAGGCTCATTTATGCCAGACACAGCCCTAGAAAGCCACAAGGAATCTCCACGAACTTAGGGTGATTTAGCCTACTACCATGAAGCTACATGACATATCCAGCTTCGGCTGCCACGACGACTTACTGTTCATTACGATACGATATGAGCAGCAAAATAACCGTCCGTCTCGATGACTTTGGACTTGCCCTAGGACGGGAGCTGCTCTATGACCTGTGTGCTGCTGGCACCTCTACGTTAGCACTAGTGGCCGAGACGAGAGGGGCTGTACTACGAGCCTGTGACTGTTACAGAAAAGTTAAAATCTTTTTCCTCGGCGTTCGTTCTTCTCTCCCCTCTCAAAGGCTGCCCGACCCGTCCACTACCCCCAAGCCTAACCGGGGCCGCGTCCTCGCCCCCAGCCCAGCCCGGTTCGCCCCTCGGATGCTCTCCCAGCCCCGGGGACCGGTCCCGCCGGGCTGGGGCTCCCGTTTCACCCCCGGCAATTCCTCGGACCCATCTCCCGCGGAGCCGGGGGGGGGCGGGCAAGTGGGAAACTCCAGCGGGGAGTGAGATGCTCTCCGCGGGGGAGCGGCCGGCCCC